GAGGAGGTTAGATGAACACCTTGCTGGGGTCGTTTGACCCCAGTACTCTTTCCTGCCATGGCAGGGGGGGGTCAGACTAGATGATCTGCTCAGGCCCCTTCCGACCTTAGAAACTATGAAACTATATTTTCCTAGGCTCAGATCCTTGACAAAAATAGGCTTTCTTCCCTCTGTATCTAGTCACCAACATTTTTGCACAGAATGTATCAAGAAAGCTGTGAGAGACAAGATTTGCATTTATCCTCAGAGGTAATACCATGTTACGATCTGTGGTTTTGACATACAGTGCCAGGGACTCATGCCTCTCTGCTTCCTGCTATCAAGAATCAACAGGGGTTTCTTGAGACACTTGCTTTGCTTGGGCTTTCCATCTTCGGTGGTTCTGACGAACTGACCCCTGCAGCTCAAAAGACTGGAGATGAAGCAGGAAATCTTTCTCCCAGGGGAGTTCCTCTGACACTGGGAGGGATTTTCCTTCCTACTACAGTAGCCTGTACCCCACTGCAGCCAGTGTGTATAGTCCGGGAAAGCTGCTTAGCAGTCATGGGATACCCCCCCCCCCAAGCCGGTGCAGGACTGCTGTGGGCTGCCACCAAGGGAGCTGGGGATATCTTTGAGTTAGAAAGCACGAGGCTACAGTCTGGTGCACAGTAAAGAATCTGGGCAGTTCTTGGTTATGGGACTTCCCATAGACAACCTAAGCAGGCTGGTACAAGTTAAAGCCTCTCCCTTGACTGCCTAAGTGATACCAAAAGCTATTTCAGCCCTGTTTTAGAACTGGGAGTGCAAAGATGGCCCTAAGGCACTTCCGCTGCTTCTGTTGTGAAGGTACAGTACACGGTCTCTTCTTTTTGCGCTCTCATAGTTATTGTCTGAAGCTTTTGTTGATTTGAGAGCTCAGCCTAGCATTCAAATGTAGCTTCCCTGGTTAGGGTGAGATCTTTCTTCCTTAGAGTTCAACACCAGTCAGCAAAGTAACTGTATGACCTAAAGGAAAAGATTCCCATTGCTTTGTTATGATCTAGGATTAGTTGCAGCTATTGATTTAATCTTGTTGCTGATAAAGGCAGCATAAATCTCACAAGTGCTACAATGAGCTATGATTGGAAGGCAATAGCCCAAGCCCTGCTCAACTGTGATTCCACCTACTCCATGTTAACAGGTTGTGATATCAGAGGCCAAGAATGTACCTGTCTTTTAAACTGGTGCATGCCCACGCACACTAGCAACAATGGGTTCTTCAAAATGAAACTCTCTCAGACTGGAGCATCCTCTGTTGCTGTTGATAATTCAGTTTAGTTTTCCCGTTAATCACTGTCTCAATATCCTGGGTACCGCTTCTGGTACAAAAAGCTGGGTCATACCTTCACGATGTAAAGAAAACAGGAGAGCTATAGATACATAATGGAGAAGTCTCCAGAAGTCTCCTTATGGGATTTCTGAGATACCACATGAGTTTAAAGACCAGATTTTTACCTTCCTATTGTTGGAAAGGGTGAGGCCACCCAGCTTCACTCACTAATATCCTTAATTTTATGGAGTAAGTCTATAGCTGTCTAACTTCTTGGGGAAATTCCCCTGCACTGTTCTCTCAGTTCCCTCTCCTGAAGCTATTCTGCTACCCCCTCTTGGATTGTCAACTGGTATCTGACTCGCTCCACAGGAATAATGTTGGCATGATCAGCTTTAATTCCTGAGGGTAAGAGCTGCAACTATCCGGCCACAAATACTTAAGCCAAAGTCAACAGCCAACACCCCTGAAAGTTAACTCTCCCACTCATGGGTTTTCATAGGACTGGAAGGAGATGCAGCTGCTATATAGGCTTAGCTCTTCCCTCAGATTTTTGGACAATTTATTATCAGGGTTCCTGGTGTATTGTAGCCGTCTGTGTTGGTGGAATTTGTTGCAGCATTGTGTTTCAGAATCTCAGTTTAAATCTGAAAGCAGTATATTGCCAGCCCTCTTGGCTGTACAAGAGACTCAAAATTCAATCAGTGCAGCATTGCTTGCCAATATTTCACTAGAGCCAAAAATCCGCTCTCAGATGTGTGACCTGTTCCATTCTCAACCACTGAACAGTTCTGTGGCTACTGTGTAATTTGTCACTTTCCCAAGATGCAATTAAATTAATTAGTAGTAGTATTCTATGCCAAAAAGACTACCATTTTGCTTAAACATTTTTTTTCTACCTGTTACTCTGTTCTGCCAGGACCTGCCTGCATCTGTGTAGTGCTCTGCATGTTTTCCTGCCAGGGAGGATTGTATTGCTGTGTAGGTTCCCTGTGCTGCTCCTTGGAATTGGACAGCAGGGGTCTGGAAAGTGGGAAGTAGACACTAGCTCAGAGGCAAGAAACAAGGGAGATGGAATAGGCTGGCAAATCAGACAGCCTGGAGAACAGTGCAGCAGCTGCTGCCTTGAACATCAGGGAGCTACAGGCACTGGCTTCAGGCTCCCCTGTTTTCCTAGACCACCTTGGAGAAGTGGTTTTGAGCTGATCTCCTGAATGCTATCCTGGGATCTGAGACAAGGGAATAGACCTTGTCTATAAATAGCCACCTAACAAAAACCTGTTTTTGAAAATAATGGTAGAAGAAACTCATCAAACAAACTTATATCAACAAGTGTCTTCAACTCTCACTGCGTGATTTTTTTGGGACTGCAGACATGGGAAATAAAGGAAATTTTATTGTGATAGAATAATTTTTAAGAATTATCAAAACATTTAGTTTCTCTACAACCAAGTGCCTTGTTTCAGCTACTGTATTATATTTTAACTCCTTCCCAAATTATAACATGGAAACATGTCAACCTTATCGAAACAAATCACTTTGATAAAGTAGCTTCAGTACTTCCCAAATGTCTTGTTTCTAATTTGTATTTTGCAGGTAGTTTCATAGTCTGATATTCTGTTCCAATTGCAGGTGAAGGTTGGAAATGCTTCTAATTATCTACAAAACAGAAGCTTTGAGTTTCAATGATCCCCTATTCTCAAGACAGACTCTAAAGTATTCCCCTGTAAAATTTCCAGTCATTGTTGCTTTCATTCTATATTTCCCAGAGGATAGTAACACCTGACGGAAGGACAGGGATGTGTAACAAGATCCTCTTAACTTGCCTCAGCAAATACTGTTATGAGTTTTATTGTAGCTCCTAGGAGCCCTCCTGGTCATGGAGCAGGGCCCTGTTGTGTTAACTGCTGTACTGATAGCGATACTGCAAAGCGAAAGTCTCTGGGGCAGAGACTATGCATAAGATGAGTCAACAGATGGATACACAAAGATGAAGAAACAAAGGCATGGTATGTAGCTAAGGCAAAGGAACAGTATGTAGTAGGCAGCGGCATCAGCTCACCAAAAGCCCATGGTTGTCAGGTTTGTGTAACGAATGCAAAATGGCTAGCTTTGCAGAAGTAAGCTTTCTTGGAGAACATCTTGCCTCTCCAGTATTGCATCTAGGTTGAGTGTTTGTTACATCCTAAAGAAAACTGAAATGACTATTATAAATCCCAAAAAATGGGCTTTTAAATGGAAATACTACCGTGTTTTTAGCTATGCCAAAACTGCAGGATGCCACTGTGCTTAGAGCATGCTGTATTCTTCTTTGTAAAAGGAAATAGCCAGCAAGAATGAAAGAGAGAGCATTTTTCAGATAGAAAGATAATGCTAGATTTCCTGCTCCCAACTCACTTTTAAGTGATTACATTAACACTCATCCAACAAAGTTGCAGAACTCATCAGTTAAGCCAACTTTCATTCACAGGCCTGCACATCATATGCTGAAACACTTACCCAAGTCCATGCCAAACCCCTTTCTGTTTCCAGCATACAGCCAGTGATAAAGATCTAACCAATGACATTCAGTCACAGCTGGCCACATATTCTTTATGGGTTTATGTGCACTTAAATTCAAAACACATTTAATGAACCTGGAACCTGATTTCCTAGCAGCTTACACTTGCTCCTTTAGAGTTTCACCTTGCTGTGAAACCCCTTGCTTCTGATGTAACCACTGGGGACAATAAGCCAGGATAGCATAGTTGCTTCCCCTTTCTTTGGCTGCTGAGAAACGTAGCCCTTCCCTTCGGAGCTGCTGATGTAAAGAGCCGGCTGATCCATCAAAATGGGCTAGCAGCCAAACGCGTCAGATGGCCCGAAGGTTGGTTTCTCAATCAGTCGGGTGTCAAGTGCCTTTCCTAGGCTGGGTAGCTGACTGGAACAGCATGAGAACCTTTGCCACAGAACAGGCATGGTTTGCTAGGGCCAGGCATCGCCTCTACATGTAATGCGAAACAGCGTTCACCGCTGGACTCCGCTAGATCCTACTGACACTTTTAAGTCTCCCTGAACCATCATCTTCCACCATAACAAGGGACCATCTAGAGATCAGCAGAGGGAAACGTTCAGCTCTGAAGTGTTGCACCTCCTCCCTCTACTAAAGCTCCAGCAGTTTGGGAACACGGGCAGCTCATACAGCAGCTACCTCAGGGAAAGGTGAAAACCTCGAAATCTTCCCTCCCCCCCGCCCTGGGGCGTGGGGACTCCCACTGCCCATCACACCCGTGTTCCCTCCAAGCTGCCTACAGAGCTGCCCGCTGCCGGGGGCATGAGGGGGGCCATGACCTTTTTACAGGGGACAGACACACGAGTGGGGATGTAAAGGGGACCTGGGGCAGGGGGTGCAGTACGCGGGGCATCATCTGTCTTCTGCGCAGTCCCCCAGGGCCGCTGCAGCGTGGGGAGCCCCTGCGCCGGGCCTGCTCGCGTTGCAGCCTGGTTTCCTCTGATCGCGCAGAGGGAGGAGCGGCACAACCGGAGCGCCGCGCGGCCTCCGCCCACCTTCCCCCAGTTCGCGCCCTCTGCTGGGCCAGGGCTGCGCCCCGCCCAGTCCCGCCCTGCCCTCCCAGCTGAGCGGGAGCGCCCCAGACTCGGCCCGGTTGCGCGGGGCGGAGACGGCGCGGCCTCTCTCGTCACGTGCGGCAACAAGTGGCGCCACCCGGACTGGACCGGGCTTGTCCTGCCCCGGCGGCTGGCTGGAGCTGCGCGGCACCATGAAGATGCACTTCAGCATCCCGCTCTCCGAGGAGCTGCTCGAGAAGTTCGGCGGCCGCTATGTGGTGGGGCGGCAGCGGCGGCGGTGGGGGACTGGGGCCGGGGCCGGGGCCGGGGCTACTGACCGGGGGTGTCTTGCAGCTCTACTCCGTGTACCTGGAGGGCTTCCTCTTCTGCAAGGCGCGCTACAGCCAGCTGCACCGCTGGAACGAGCAGGTGAGCGCCCCGCGGGGCAGGGGCTGCGGCCGCGGCCGCGGCCGGACTAGGGGCTCCTTTGTGGGGGAACAGCGGTTGCTGCCCTTCCCCGGCCCTAAAGGCTCTTATGGAGCGGGCTGAGGACGCTTCCCCTCCTGCAGGAGCGGGCTGCGCTCGCCGCCGGCCCTGGGGCTGGTGCCCCCCGCCCGTCGGGGCCCTGCCTTCCCCTGCCCTGGGGCCGCCAGGTCTCTGGCCTGCTGCGGGAGGGATCAAAGCAAAGCTTTAAGCCCATGTCCCCAGCCTGATGTGGGGGGACCCTGACCAGCTTTGCTCCTCCAGGCACCGAGGCACTTTCCCCAGCCCTGCTCTCCTCCAAAGGCGCACGGCTCCAGAAAGTTTTTGGTTCCAACAAGTTGAGGTCTCTGTGCTGAGACTACCAAGTTCTCTGCTGCTTCCTCTCCTCTATCCTTTGGTAGCAGCTTGGCTCTTTTCATTTTTTCCTTTCTGTTTGTCCAGTCTCTTTCACAGCACATCTTGAGTTTTCATTGTATGCAGGACATGCAGCCTAAGCCAGACCCTTTAGAAAGGAGAACAAGTCTCTTTGTGGGAGCTTTCTTGTACTTTGGCCCTCCCCAAACCTCTCCAGAAGTGATCTAGGGTGTTTCTTTATTCCAGTTCCTCTGCTGGTACCTGCTAAAGCAGGTATGAAAATGGAATTGAATAATATTCAGGAAAACAGGTTTCACATAGCTATTTTTATTATCAGTGGCTGCAAGGCATTTCTTCTCATCTTAGAATCCCATGAGCTATAAAAAAAACAAACAAAACCAAACCTCATCTAGATCCTGTCTGTACTACAGTTCAAATCCATGTTAGCATTTTAAAAATGTTCTTGCTTAAAAGCGACCCATACCGGGGTTGAATTCCAAGGGGTATATGAGACTTCACATTCCACCTTGTGACTGTGGTCCTCCTCTTAATTCCTTGTGAATTGTGTCTGTTGCAAGTGGAAGGTAGATGATCCCTGTGAACAGGCACTGAGATGAAAGTAGAGAGACCCGAGTTTTATTTGTAGTTTGGCCCCAGCTTGCATGGTCTGTCTTGTTCCTCTGTTTTCTGCCTGTAAAACAAAGATCATTACTTTCTTCCTCATGACATTGTCATGATGAGGATAACATCCATTAACGATTATGAGAGGCTTAGATAGTAGAATAGTGCAGGTCATAAGTCTACCTAGGTAATTATATGATATAATATTCCAGTTACTATACTGCATTAATGACAGTACAAAAGAGCTTGGTATGTAACGGTGTTCATAATTTAAATAAGTAGACAAGTAAGGCTGGTAGTCCTTATTGATGTGTTGCTTCAGGATCGCCCATTTTGTGATCTAACAACAAATAAAAAATCAGTGAAGGGATTATTGGAGGAAGGTGTAATTGTTATTAATACGTTGGGTGAACATGGAAGAGATCTAGGGTATGGATACATGAACAAATAATACTAAGTAAAAAAGTGTAACTGTTGAATCAAGCTGAACTGTGGTAACTGTGTCATGTGTCTGCTCCTATCCTGTGGTAAGCGTAAATTGCCCTGGTTTAGCTTCCCCGTTTCATTTAGAAGTAAATTTGTTCTAGATTAAAGCAGGATCGGAGGAGATGCACCAGACAGTTGACACATGGTTTGTCCTATGGTTTTTAACTTGTTTGTACTTGCTCTTAAAGTGTCAAGTAGCTGGAGCATTTTAGTCATCTTACACCTGCACAAGTGAGATATCCATAGCTTCCATGTGGCTTGGTGTTTCTAGTGGTAGACTGGAAATAGCCATAGAAAACGTACTGCAGGGGCAAAACCAGGTTACCAGATCATCTATTAGGAGGATTATTGAACTGTGGGAGCCTAAGAAATTAATTTGATGCTAGCTTCCCCCTCCTTTCCAGATGCTGTGATGCATGAAGACGGCTTCAAATGTGTTGTTTCCTTTATGACCCATTTCCACAATAATGATTACTGTAGCTGACATGGGATTATCAGAGAGGAATACAAAGGTCACTTCTGTGACCACAAATGGGAGGGCAGGCCATATCCGTGAGGAGACCTTCACATTAAAGCCGCCCATTATTATATCACGTTGATTCATGTTTTCGAGTTTTCTCTTTTGGAGTATAAGGCTGCTTGTACATGCCACAGGGGTTTAATTTGGTTTAGTTCTCCCTAAATTGAAATGGTGGGTTTTTAAAAACACCACTTCCGTTTAAGGAGAACGAAGCCAAACTAAACCCCCATGGCATGTACACAGGGGTGGGGGCCCGGTCCTTATCTATCTGTTGGTGACAAGGAGGGAGGGGGCGAGCTGCCAGCAGACTGAGCCATC